CAGTTACAGTTGACCCTGATTCTCTGCAGTGCAGTTACAGTTGACCCAGATTCTCTGCAGTGCAGTTACAGTTGACCCAGATTCTCTGCAGTGCAGTTACAGTTGCTGATGCCAAGCAGTTACATTACAGCATTCCTATTATAAAACCCTTCCATCCTTCCTCACTGCTTTTAGGATAAAGTCTAAACTCCTTGGCATGATGAAAGCTTCTTCCCAATCTGGTTAAATTCCTTCTCTAGGCTGATCTCTTAACATCGCCTCTCTTCATTTTTGGGCCAGTCAAGTGAGTGTTCTTCATATCCCATAGTGTAGGCTTCACAGCTCTGCACAGTCTGGCTTCTTTCCTGGGAAACTCTCACTTTTGATGGCTAGGACAAGATGCAGATCACATGACATCTAAGGACAGTCACTCTGGTTCTCCATCATTGTTTGTTGTTGTTTTGTTCTTGGAGTGCTCCTCCTTGTTTTCATGCCTCGTGCTGTCACCTATCATGACCTCTTCTTAGCACATTATAACCACACCTCGTTTGTTTCGCTTCCCCTTAACCTATACCCTGCAACTTTATACACGGTGTGTTTAGTAGACAGACTAGTCTGTGGCAAGGGCACAGAACTGTACTTAGTTCAAATCCTAGCTCTGGCTCTCAGGAGCTCCATGTTAATCAGTAGTAAAGGCAAGCAGAGCCACACTTGAGAAGGACAAGAAAGCACAGAGTTACTTAGTGGTTCTGAACATCTGCTGTTACGTGTGCTGGCCTGATGCTTCGTTTGTACCCCAGGTGTTGGACAAAATGATCTCCTGCCTTTCAAGTTTAAGGACTCAGGGAAGTGTTCTGTCCCTACATTCCCAGGAACAGGAGTTTTAAAGGTTGCTGGGAAGCTTGCCGTACCACAAGCACCTTCAAACTGCAGAACTGAACTATGTTTCCATGATATGTGGTTGTACAGGCTCGTTCCAACATCTATTAAGATGTCTTAGATTTTATTTTCTTTCAGTTAGAAAAGAATAGGAAAGAATATCTGCTAGGAAGCAAGAACATTTAAGTGCCCTCTTTAAATCTGATTTCAAGAGAATCATTTTATTATGTTATTTTTCCCAGAACTGCCATCCATTTGTGCAGTTCCATTGTAAACAGGGACGACTTAGTCACTTTTGACAGTGACTTTTGTCTTTGCTAGACAGAGTGCAAACAGCAACTTCTACTTACAATAGCCAGAGATGATGCAGTATCTGCAAAGTTAATACAAACAAGGCAACATTTGTGGCGCCTTAAATAATAAGAAAAAAAGAAAAAGATTCAGGTCAGGCCTGAATCAGCAAGCGCTCTCACCTCCTCTGCTTTCAAGGCCTCTTTCTCTATTCAGTGCCTGAGACAGGCAGAAGAAAAGAATGCTGGGAAAGTCCCTAAATATTCAGTGAAAACTGTACAAAGGAGAAACTGTGCTCGTAAGTGAGGACTGACAACTCTGGATGCACTGTGAGGGGCCTCTTCACTCTGAAATGGTGTCCTTATATTTATAGCATATTTTGTTTCACAGAATGCATTTCTTTCATCATAATTGTGACAGTCAGAGGAGAGGTATCTCTACTTGGTCAGAATCTATGTCACCTCTGTGTCATAGGAGGCCAAGGACTTGCCACATCACGAGTCAGAGCCTCAAGTGTTAGAACGTTTATCACAGAACCTAGTAGCTAGTGTACTTAACCTACATTCGACAATGGGGTAATCTAAACTTTCTGGCTCTTAGTGCTAAGTTTCCCCTAGTTAGAAGATTAGGAATACAGTAAGAGTCCAAGGAAATTGCTAACTCAAAATCAAGAGTGTTACTTAATCAAAGCAATTTAGATAGCTCGACCCTCCGAACTATACACAGAGGCAGCATTTGTTAGTTTAGTATCTTCCAAGCTATACATTCCACAGAATACACATATAAATTACTTTAACTGACCAGCCAAAGAAACACACCTGTAGACGAGTGCCTATTAATTACCTGAGGCGCAAGGAGAGGTAGCCTAATGTAAGCCAAAAGTTTACTGAGATCTTTCCGCCTCTGTTCCAGATCGTGCCGGACCCAGGTGAGAAGTGCATTCAGGATGGTCTCCTCATTAGGAATGTTCATGTCATCACTGGCCAAGAGCTTGGCAATCTCATTGGCTGGGAGTAACACAAACTCCTGGTTCCTGATTACCTCCATGAAATGTTCCTAGAGGGGGAAAAATGATATTGTTTCTTTTAATCACCACTGTTTTATAAAAAAAAAAAAAGGCTCAAATTTTTTATATTAGGTGTCTAGAATAATTTGTACTTGAGACACAATTTTATACTTTAGACCTGTTAGAAAAGAAAGTCAAAACAAAACAACAACAACAAAAAACCCTAAAACATCCCTAGCCTATATCACTTTTTAAACATTTGTCAGTGGAAACCATGTCAGATGACCACACTGTGAAGGGAACAGTGTCAGATGATGACTCCGTGAAGTGGGAACAGTGTCAGAGAACGACACTGTGAAGTGGGAACAGTGTCAGACAACAACACTGTGAAGTGGGAACAGTGTCAGACAACAACACTGTGAAGTGGGAACAGTGTCAGACAACAACACTGTGAAGTGGGAACAGTGTCAGAAAACAACACTGTGAAGTGGGAACAGTGTCAGAAAACAACACTGTGAAGTGGGAACAGTGTCAGACGATGACACTGTGAAGTGGGAACAGTGTCAGACAACAACACTGTGAAGTGGGAACAGTGTCAGACAACAACACTGTGAAGTGGGAACAGTGTCAGACAACAACACTGTGAAGTGGGAACACTGTCAGACAACAACACTGTGAAGTGGGAACACTGTCAGACAACAACACTATGAAGTGGGAACACTGCCAGACAACAACACTGTGAAGTGGAAACAGTGTCAGAAAACAACACTGTGAAGTGGGAACACTGTCAGACAACAACACTATGAAGTGGGAACACTGCCAGACAACAACACTGTGAAGTGGAAACAGTGTCAGAAAATAACACTGAAGTGGAAACAGTGTCAGAGACGACACTGTGACATTTATTTAGTGCTTTGTTCAAGTTCAGGAGTAGTTTTGACAAGGCTTATGAAGGGAGATTGAAAAAAAATGAAGTAAACAGCAAGGAAGAGAACGAATATCAGGCTTACGCATGTTAGGGAATTTAGGTAACAGTGAAGGCGCATCTGATCCAGGAACTGCCTCCAGGCTGGCCAACTAAGACAACTCTGGATCAAAGTCCTACAGCCCGCCAAGGCAAAGCACAAGCCAGGCTATATTTTTTATAACCAAAGTGGATATTAACGTTTTGTTCTGGTTTGTTTTGTTTTAAAGACAGGGTCTCCTGATGTAGCACACGCTGGCCTTGAATCTGAGGTTCCTCATGCCTGTGTGTGCTACCACAGATAGTTCAAAAATATTCCTATGCTTTTTACAAGACCACTCAGGATTTCAGACCTATTCAGAAGACTTGAGTCCTTCTAATATGATTTATGCCGAGTTAGTTTGCTTTTAGCAAAAAGAGCCAAAGCAAAACTGTTAACCTAGCAAACAGGACCTTAGACTGCACTTGACTGAGTCCTGGCTGTGATTTGAAGTGGGACACTAGAAATGTCCCAGATGTGAAATAATTTGTTTATCATTATTATGTTAACTAATCTGGAGAGAAAGAAATCTCTTCTTAAAATCTCTTATTTTTATTTTAAAGTGTGTGCATGCACATGTATCTGTGTGTGGGTGCAAGTGCCTGCAGAGGCCAGAGACTAGAGTTATGGATAGTTGTGAGCCATCTTACATGGGTGTTGGGAAATAAACATGGGTCTTCTGCAAGAGCAGTGCACAATTGTTGAAAGAAAGAAATCTTTCTCTGCTTTGAAGTCTGCAAGTCTTACTGCAGGAAGAGCTTACATCATGGATATAAACACAGATTCCACATATGCAGTCTTGTAATGTTTCTCTTCTACTTCCTAATGTACTTTCTGTATGTTATCAACATACAAGGTTTCAGTAAAACAGCTAACACTGTTTAAATCAGAGCTAGAGATAAGGCCTATGAATAACTATCTGCCATATTGAAATGAGAATCATATTTTCCATTTACCCTGTGGTAACCCAAGCAAGATACTGATCTGAGATCTATCTTGGGCTGACGTTCCTTTCAGCAGAATCTTAGGAGGAAAACCATTCATGAATAATTAACTAAATTCAATTGCTCTAATTCATCATGATTTGTTAAAAGATACCGAAACGAATCTACTTTGGATGATTGATTATCATTTTCAGGAACATATTTTAATAAAATCTCAGTGCTGGAAGGGCTTCAAGCAAACTGTTCTACTCAATTTCAGACTGACATTATCAGATGATTTGGGAACACACAGCAAGAGCCAAAAATGATCAAGACTGGGCTGGGGCTGCAGCTCAGTAGGGAAGTGTTTGCCTGGCGTGAGAGAGGCCCGATGTTCGACACTAGCACTGCAAACCTCTCATCCATTTAGGGCAGTTGGCATGTTAACCCTTAATAAATACTTTGCACAATGGAGAACAAAACCAACCAAACACTTCTCAATACTTCTTTTATCATCCTTTTTATAGTTAAGTAGCTGAAACTCTAACCATGGGAAGTTATAACCCAGTGATTATTAGGTAGGCAACATGAATTTGGAGGAAGATCATTTAGCTGTATGCAAAGGTATTTCATACACAGTGTTGGGTGGGAAGTGATGTGTTTCTGGTCATTTAACACTGCAGTATGGCCAGGCATGATGGCACATATCTGTGATCTCAGCCCTAAGGCGCACAGGGCTGTGAATTTGAGGCCAGCCTGGGTCTGAGTATGGCACACCGGATAAGCAACACATCTGTACAATACTAGTGTGACTCTGTTCTACTTTCCAATGGTAGTAACTGCATATCATCAGTAAGAAGAGGCTACTTGGCAAACTGTTAGTGTTTTCTATGTCAAAGAAATGCCCTTTCACTCTATATAGTTCATATTACATGAAAACTGAGTTTTTCAATAGATTATATGACACTATTGGAGCAAGTTTAAACACAAAGATCTTTTCAGAGACATGATTTTGCTTTAAGGTAGCTGTTTTAGAAAAATTCAATGATTTAATAAGTTTTCGAGGCTCAGAAATAAAATTTAGAATTTTGAAACGAAATGTTCACATTTGCTTCAGAAAACGACAAGGACATGAAGTAGTTATAATGACAAAATAATCTAGAATGTTCTTTCCAGAGGTTAAATGACATGTTCGGTGGCAATGAGAACTGGAACAGAAGCTTCGAGACTCCAGCATCCTGAGGATGTTACCCGTTCCTGCCTGAGCGTGTGAGGACGTCTGAGCATGCCCTGTGCACTCTCATACAGTAACTGAACTTACCAGCCCAGTGCTACATTTGCCTCATACTTTCAATCTGTTCTAGGAAACAAGCAGGCATCAACATACCAGACACTTGCTAGATTTGCCCTTTCCCCTTCAGAATTGCTTTTAAGCAAATGAAATTACTGAGGGATTTATTTAAAGTGAAGATTGAATTTTGCTTTACATTCTTATTCAGTTCCCATAGCAACATTCAAATCAGATGATCTGCCTCTAAATTACTTATTGTTATTAGAGTCCCGTCGCATATCTCTATTGAAGCTAAGTAATGTCAAGTAATGACCTTGACATAAAAAAAATCTACTGCAACTAATTGGCTATGAAAATAGCTTTAAAAACATTCAGCTAATTTCAACTGGATTTGCATCTGAGCTTTAATGCAGCAATCATGCCTCTACTGTAAACAGCAGGAGTGACCTAAATGCATACAAATGTTTTCACATGTATAGAATGTGTGAGAAAGAGACACTGAGCCCAGAGAAAAGAGATAAAGGCACTTGTCTCCAAGCCTGAAGACCTGAGTTCGACTCCTCGGACCCACGTGGGGGAAGAAGGACTCCTGCAAGTTGTCCTCTGACCTTCACGTGTGCACTTGCTCAAATATATATGTAATAAAAAGATAATATGAACAGCCAGGTACTTGGGAGGCATAGGCAGGTGGATCTCTGTGAGTTCGAGTCCAGCTTAGTCTATAAAGTACTCCAGGACAGTCAGGGCTCTGATACACAAAGAAAACTTCTCTAGTGAAAACCACTGAAACACCATGAGTCTCTTCCCAGACAAAGCACTCAGCTGAAGGGTGGAAGATGTAAGAGGAAGAGGAACTAAACAACAGCTCCTCAGCCTTGAGCGCATCACGTGTTTGACCAGCTACACACTTATCCGTGAGCACTCGTCTGCTTTCTTTTCTTGGCAGCTACATTGCTCTCTGGTTGAAGCAGTAAAGCCAACACTGCCAGGTGGCAAGACGGTCCATTCCTTAGAAAGCCATCTTCCACTGCCGTCCCCTCGTCCCCTCTACTGGTAAACTGAAGGCGGGTCCTAAGAGGACTCCATCAATATGCCCTACTCCCTTGCTATCCTCGATCAATCCACGTTCTCAGGCCGCTGAATCAGAACGTCCTCTGATTTATTTTGAACACACAATTCATTGCAGTTAGTAGGAGCATTGTCTTCGCACGGTGACAAGCACTTGCCTGTAATCAGAGGCATCCAAAATAGAAGGTCTCCCATTCGCTCTCTTACCCTTCATCTTACTGCTTACACTATGACCTCCATCACCAGTTCCCACCAGTGTCTGTGAGACAGATCTGCAATTCATCCGTGTGCTGCTGTGGTGGGATGTTCATTCAGGAAAATGTGCTTTTAAAAGCAGCGCTAGCACTCTCCAGCAGGAGTCATCTTCATTGCTTTCCTCCCCAACTTAGTGCTGTGTCATAATCTTGAACCTCAAAACTTGTGGCAAAGCCAGGCTTTCAGAGGCAAGGGGGCGGGGCCGAAAGGACTTCACTGATTAGAGAATACTTACCATAGTGTAATTGTGAGCCACTTTATGTAAATCTGTGCAGCCTTGGGCATCAGCAAAAGACCGAATCCCAAGGCAATTGGACGGGTGGAGCTGCTTCATCAGGAACTTGCAGCAGGCTTCCACCACCTGGGAGAGCTGAAGCAGGCATGCCGTGGACAGCAGGCACTCGATGTTATCCTCCTTCAGTTCAAGTCGGCCTTCATAAACGGGAATTCATTAATGAGCCAGCTTCATAAATCTTGTTTTTAAACAATAACTGATGTTGACATGATTTCTAAATAAGAGCTCATTACACCATTACAGATCTAGAAGGCTTAAGATTCCAAAAAGAAAAACAAAGTATTAAATGGGAATCATTTTACCCTTTTGTGACCTCTGCTTAAAAAAAAAAAGACTTATTTTCAGAATTTTTAAAAGCTGAATTAATTAGTAACTAATATCCATGATGTATAATTCTTAAATTTTAAATGTAAAGTTTGACTATATTACATGTGTGACTGTGTGTGTGTGTGTTTCTGGGCACACACATGCACACAGGTGTATGTGGGGGCCAGAGGAAAGTGCCAGGTGTCTTGTTCCCCCCCCCCACTCCTTTGCTTGATTTTTAAAACAGGGTCTGTTACTGAAACTGGCACTCAGAGCTTTTTCACCTCAGCTGTCCAGCCAGCAGCATCTTGCCTCTACCTTCCAGTGCTGAGTTATAGGCACATACATCCATACCCCGTGTTAAAGTGGGTGCTGAGGATCTAAACTCAGGTCCTGTCTGCAAAGCATCTGATCTTACTCACCAAGTTATTTCCCCATGTCCAACTCATATTATTTCTATATAATATTTTAAGGTATCATTCAAAGGAATGGGGACAGATGGCTCAGTGGTTAAGACTTGGATGCTGCTTTTCTCAGCAACTGTCAGGTGGCTCACAACCGCCTGAGACTCCAGCTCCAGGGGATCCAATGCCTCTGGTCTCCACAGTCACCTGCTACGCTCGTGTGTGTGTGTGTGTGTGTGTGTGTGTGTGTGTGTGTGTGTGTGTACGTGCCCGAGTATGTGTGTGTGTGAGTTTTATAGGGCAAAAGTAGGCCACAGACAGACAGACACACACACACATAGACACACACACATAGACACACACGATTATAAAAAAAAATCTTTAAGAACGTATTATTCAAAAGCTTCATTATGATAATCATTTTGAAGGTTTTAACATAGAGATTTTAACCAGTAGAGAACAGTACTCTGGTTATCAGAGGTAGTGATGAGCATAGCAGAATTAACTGAACTTTATTATTCAAAGCTGAAATCTGAAATCTAGAAAGTAGTGGGGCCAGGAGCAGCTCAAGGCCACCCTTGGCTACATAGTGAGTTCAATGTTAGCTTGAACATATAAGACCCTGTTTTGTCTTGTTTTGTTTTTTTTAAAAAAAACAAAACATAAACAGACGAGGAAGGAAAAGAAATCAATCAAATTGCATGGCACAAACCTAAAGGACGTCAGCTTACATTCCGACCCGTTACCTGTGTATGCGTACTGAATTAAGGACCACAGGGAATTCGGCTCCACACCTTCCATTTTTATTTCTTCTTGCCTCGCCTCCCTGACATCATTAGTAAACATAGCAGCGAAATAATCTGAGACGGAAGACAGCACCAGTCTGAGGAGACATTAGAGAAGCAATCAATGAGCACATTAAAGCTGGATGTTCATTAATAAATGCATTCTCTTCTTTTTTTTATTTGGCGTGCATAGGAGTATACGGTGCTGGGAAATGCACCTCACATTTGACAAATCCTTTTATGCTCTATTTCCTTCCTTTGCATAATAAATCACCATTACCAGAAACGTTCTGCTGAGGTAAATGACTTTACTATGCAAACACCACTTTATGATATCTTTTTTAAAAAGCTATAAGCACTTGCTATTAAGTTGGCTGTATGTGAAAAGAAAAATGTAAAAAAGAAAGAAAAATGTAAAGGTTATTTTTCTTTGTCAATTTTGAAAATAATCTAAATTATTTGGAACAGAAGTGAATATGTAGGACATACTTAAAAATGGCATTAGCAACTTTTATAATATTTTAAACTATTAATATGTCTATATTTTTTGTTACAGTTTGGCATAGTTAACAAAAAGATGATAAGTTCTATAGGGCAAAAGTAGGCCACAGGTAAATGGTGTTACTTGGGCAAAGATCTGTTGCTTAAAATTGTCATCACTGAGGGAGGTGGAGGCGTTAGTTCTGGAGGTGCCTGGGAAGGGACCGTGCTCAGTTAAGGGCGGAAGGGCACACCCACCATGCACAGGAACCCATGAGGACTCGGAGGCTCCTGCAGAATGAGCAAGGAGAGTGACATTCTGAGACAGAGTTCCAGAGAGGCAATGGTAAGTTGGGTCACACAGGTCAGCAAATGTACTTTGGCTTTCAGCTCAGTGACCTGGGGAATCACGGAAAGCTTTTCAGAGCCACTGGCTCTTTGCTACAAATAGTGTAGGCCAGGAGACAGCAGAGAGCCGGGGCGGGGGTCATCTGTGTCACGCATTGATGTCAGCACATGCTGGTGGCTGAGTGATGAGCTCTGTTTCAGAGCCACTATGAGATGCCTCTGGGAAATTAACACCGAAATCTCCTCTCTAAGAAACCACGTTCGCAACCCAGACTTTTTATGACAGGGGTTTGTCAATAAACGTACTGTATGCTAACTCACAGCTACAAACCCAAGCTCCTGCTTTCTAATGGGTTTATTTTCACTTTGGAGGGTTTTATGAAAAATTTTTGGACAATGTTAATTAATGTTGAAAGGCATAAAAATAATCTTTGTGATCAATGTGGCGATTGACAGTGAATAACTGAACACATCAACCTGTCAGAAGAAATGAATTATTCTCTTCTAAGCATTTCTTTTTAACCTTAAGAAATACGTCGTTTGTGTTAAAGGACCCCCACGGCCATTATGATGGGGATCAGAAAACAAAATCAGGGGACACACGGGAGTTTGACAACTTGCTTAGGGGCAGGGAACCTAAGCAGTAGGAGTACACGGCTAGCACACAGGCTTGGCTCACCCGCAACATTAAAGAGAGAAAAGAAGACTGCTAAGATTTTGAGAACTCTATTTTTTTTTGTCTGTTTGTTTCCCCCTTCTGGCTATCCACAAACTCTAATTTCCATCAAGCTTATTTAAAGTACCTAATGAGTATTTAATATGCATGGAAACTGTTTGCTGTGGATGACATCTACAGCAGACAATACTGACTGACTGATCTGAAGCTAAGGCCTGTGTTTCCACAAAACAAAACACGGACATTTGTGTTTAGTAATTGCACGTGACGTTTTCTTCATAGACATCCTGTGAGACAGCTCACCGCCCTGCGGCCCAAGGGTTAACTGGTGTGGCTCAACTCACCACACGTAACGTTGGCTAGGGAACATTTCGCACGTGTAGAAACATACAACAGTTACCTGTGAGCTGGAATCCTGCGATCACCAGCGACTAAAATGACGTCACACAGTTGCTTGTGCCTTAAGTAGTTTTCCATTTTTTTAAATGTTTGCTCCGCATGGTTAAGGGCTTGAAAGAATTCATCGGATGAACATGGCTCCATAGTCTGGCAGGTTGACAATGTCTGACTACTATTGGAAGTCCTGAAAAGAGAAAACACCTATTTTAAAAAAATCAGCATGTAATTAAAGCCTTTCCCCACTAAGTCCTTTTAAACCCTTCATGTGCAGTATAAGAAGCAGAGCTTTCAGTCAATATTAGTAGGGAACTACTCACTGTCTTTTTCCCCCCTTTCCTGTGCAGGGTCACACAGCACAGCCCAGGCTGGCCTCAGAACTCTAGCCATCTTTGCCTCAGTGTACCATGTCTGGGGTTACAGGCATGCATGCTTACTGCTTCTGTGTTTTAAAATCAGTGATGTTTTGGGTATGTGTGTCTTGTAAGCACATGAATGAAGGTGCCACCAACAGCTAGAGTTATGCATGTTCTTTGACTGCCATTTTTTAGTTATCTTTGGTAAACTCTGTTACTCTGCTGAAAAAGAGCCAAGCTATATTCATACTGATGGACGTATCTCCTAATATATTTAATGGTGTCACTATTATTGTGTTTGAGACAAAAGTCCTTTACTTAAAAATGAGTTATCTTTCATAGATATTATCTATAAAATACACTGCCACAGAAACAGCATTGTGAATGATTCTCTTAAAAAACTCAGACAAGCAATAATACATATTTTAAAAGTTAAGTTAGTTTAAAGTAACTTGAGGGTGGAGTCCAAGGTGTGTGCTGGAGTGGACCACCGTACCTGACCATCTCAGTCAGTTACTACCCAGGCAGATGTGCTGGAGTGGACCACCATACCTGACCATCTCAGTCAGTTACTACCCAGGCAGATGTGCTGGAGTGGACCACCGTACCTGACCACCTCAGTCAGTTACTACCCAGGCAGATGTGCTGGAGTGGACCACCGTACCTGACCATCTCAGTCAGTTAATACCCAGGCAGATGTGCTGGAGTGGACCACCGTACCTGACCATCTCAGTCAGTACTACCCAGGCAGATGCGCTGGAGTGGGCCACCGTACCTGACCATCTCAGTCAGTTACTACCCAGGCAGATGTGCTGGAGTGGACCACCGTACCTGACCATCTCAGTCAGTTAATACCCAGGCAGGGGTTAACTTAGTTATTTCTCAGCAGCTCTGTAGAATGCTGTATTGAAGTAAGATTCAGATATTGTAAGAGAATTGTCTCAATAGAACTAAAAACATTATAAAAAAAGAAAAAGAGTAAGATCTCTTACTTTTTAAAGTAAAAGGATCTGAAGTTAGCAAGTTCCTTGCCAAGCATTACAGAGTTTGGTCATGGCTGTAGAGACTGTTGTTTAGTGACCACATTTCCCAGCCTCTCTTACATACAGGCGTGCTCTGAGGGAGGGCCATGCACACATTAATATCTTAAGATTAGGAGAAAAGTCACAGTGTCTAATTTTTGTAAGCTACAAATTCTCTCTAAAAAAAAAAGTAAATGAAGTACTTCTTTCTTGGGGTTCTGATGTGTGTATTCCACTCCCCATGTTTCACCTGAATGAACAGGAATGGCTAGCCAAAGAGTAAGCTGAAAGATTTGAGTCATCATCCAATCGGAAACACTAATCAATATTGAATTTGAAAAGAACAGTCATTATTTAATAGTTGTCACTGAGTTATTATTGTCTTGCTTTGATATTCAGAGAAGCTCAGTTCATTAGTAGACCATTTTGTTTCTTGTCAGGAACTTTCCGGGAATTTTGAGTTGGACCCCAGATGAATTTGGATACATGGGGCTCACTCGCACTTGGTCTGAGGTGAAACCCAGAAACTATATTTTTCAAAAGCCACGAGGTGCTCCTAATATTTGCACCGGCTGAGGACCACTGGTGCACACTTTTGGTAGGTACATTAGAAGACCGAATGTACAATGAACCTACAGTTCAAATCTGATCTGAAAGATGAAATCTACTTCCAATAGATGCAAACTGAATTTCCTAGAATAAAATGTTTAAATGAACTAGTAGAACTTAATGGAAGATTTGCCATTTAAAAAATGCACTTACAGGTAAAATATTGTAGGCACTTTTACATTTTACTTTTTTAGTATCTCCTTCCCTCCTTCCCTCCCCCGCCCCGTGTATGTGTGTGTGTGTGCCTGAATATGTATAAGTGCACAGACCAGAAGAAGGTTCTAGATACCTCTAGAACTGGTCTTATAGGCAACTGTGAGCCGCCATATGGGTGCTGTGAACCAATCTCAAGTTCTCTGGAAGAAGGACAAGAGCTCCTAACTGCTGAGTCACTCCAGCAGTACACATAAACATTAACAAAAGCCTTTTAGGGTTCTAGAATAATACCTCAAACTTCTCTCTTATTTGTTATCAAGTCTCCAGCTGCTGTCACCTTAAGGGAACATATTACTTCCACGTGACAATTAATTACAGGTTTCTAGAGACAGAAATCACATCCGCTACTTCAAATGAAGCATCAAGAGAAACGCGGCGTTCTGGTTTGTAGTCTAAGGAAAAGTCCAGCTATGTTCATGCAGTGTGCGCGAACAGAAAGAAGCAGAGCTCCTCGGCAGACTTCAATGGCTGCACAATGCCCCAGTAAGTCTTGCTTTTATTGTTAAAAGGCAGTTCGGAGAATACAATTCTAATAAGTGCTTTCTTAAAAAATAATTTTTTGTGCATCCGTTCAACTATAAGGAATTAAACTATATGTATTCAAACTACTATATGTAGACTTTTCACAACTAAAAGAAACCTGTCATTTAATCCAAGTGTCTTATCTTGCATATAAAAAAAAATCTGAGGTCCTAAATGGCTAACATGACCAGCCAAGGAAACACAGGGCGACCAATTACTGCACTGGATCAGAAGCTGTTCAAACTGGTTGTATTGTCCACAAAAAATTGAGAAATCCTTCCCACCTTTATACTAAGTCCAAGGACAACAGTATTAATTCAAGGACTAAAGGTTTGATGGGAGAATAAAGATCCATTGAGGGCAGGCATGGCAGCTCCTCACTGCCATGGGAAGGTTTCCATGGGATGGAGAGAACGTCCATGGCTCTGTATAACTGACAAGGGAACACTTCCAGCTCTGTCCTTTCCAGTGTGCTTTAGTTCTGAGAGTTAAGTTGGAGAGCACTGGAGAGTGACTGAGAGCATTTCAGGAATTGTTACCCAATACAATAGCAATTGGCCATTTTGAATCTATTTCAAGTTTAAAAACCCACAGTTTTATTTCTATAAAATAAAAACTTCAATTCTTTAGTAGTTGGACTAGTCACACTTTAAATGCCTAATATAGTGGGACAGTGGGGACCTGTGCAAGCCTCTCATCAATGCATGAAGTCTGACTGCACAGTGCTGGTCCAGAATCCTACAGACCTGGGTTCAACCCCAATTCAGTCACTCACTGCGCGTCACTGGGCATGTTATAACTTTTCTAAGCCTCACCTTCCTTACCACCAAAAATAGGAGCAATGATCAGTATTTTATTTTAGAATATTTCTTGTACAGAGATTATGAAGTGAAACAATTCATGCATAGTCCACTCAGGGCAGACACATAATCAGGGAAAGGCAGTGGTGGGAGAGGGTGCTTCACAATGGCCAATGGAAGGCCTTGTGGTGATGTCATGCTGTCTGGTTATCTGTTAAAAGATGATCCCCATTATTACCAGGTCTTATAACTCAGTTCATACCTGTTCTTTAAAATGGCCTTTAGGAAACCCAGCAGGCATCCTAACTTACAACACGAGTGTCTGGGAATAGATGTGGAACATTTAAAGTCTATTTCTCTGTGTTCTGCTTGAGCCGTGCATGATGACAGAAGAGCCTCCTCCAGCATCCCTGCTTAGCTTTGTTTATAGTACGTTACTAATACGGTGAACTGCATTTCAAAGAGATGCAAGAAGTTATTCAAATCATTTGTGGCAGACCTTCAGTGTAAGGAATTATACATTGAGGAATATTTCCAGGCAGTATCGAAATGTTTAATTTTTAGTCTATGTCACTGAGCTAGGGAATGAATTTAAGTCAGAAAATGGTTGAACACACAAAAAATAGGCAAGAACACAAAAGGTTCAGATCACCAACTGTTGACTTCGTTAGCCCCAAGGCTGTGACATCGGGATGCTGAGGGATGCATACAAAGGAGGGATGCATGGTGTGGTGAAAGGTCGGGAATGGACCTCAAGTTTTATAGGACAGAAAACATCTATCTGGCAATATGGCCCAGCATGTGTAACTCTCAGATTTCAGACACATGTGTACGTGTATATATACCATCTGTGCCATGACACTCCTCCTCGCCACATCCCCACCCCTCTGGGACAGGATCTCCCTATGTAGCTATGGCTGGCTTGGAACTCACTAGTAGATCAGGCTGGCCTCAAACATGGAGATTGCTGACCTCTGCCGGCCCCTAGTAATAGGATTAAAGGTCTGTGCCACCATATCTGGCACACTGGAATTTTTTAATGAAATAATTATTTTTAGTAAAGTTTTAAAAAGTAACTTACAGAAATTATACTGCACATGACTTTGAGCAGGTAAAGAGCTGCTTTGGAACTGTGACGAGCTTGCCTGGCTCACTCCCGGTGTCAGTGATTGATGCTTGGCACCTGCATTATAACAGGTGACGTCTAGGATCTATGCCTCTGCAAAGGTGCAATTACTGCACCATGAATCTTTTTAACATCTTTCTCAAATACTCATAATCACACATATAAAATAAAATCCAAATTTATTAGTATAGGTTATCTGTCTTTGATTTTTTTTTACATATACTGTTCAGCATACTTCAAGAATGCCCTAAATTTATTTAATAAATTATAAGGGAGGTACAGATAGCATTATGCAATTATAATTTACAAACTACAGACCAAAGCCAGGACTGGCAGTGCGTGTCTGTAATTCCAGCACTTAAGGGGTGAAGAAGGCAGAAGGATTGTGAGTTCAATGACAGCTTGGGCTACAGGAAACTCTACCTCAAAAACCTAAAGCAAAGCAAAACAGACCAAATCAGAGCTATAAAATACAAGTAGAAGTAGAGATAGAAAGCCATGCTGTCAAACGAGCATCACCACATCACTGCATTCCA